CGGAGGGCTCCTGCAGGACGGGGGTCAGAGGTGTCGGGCGGCCTGGGGGTTGTGAGAGGGGAAGGGGTCAGGGAAAGCATCGCGGAGGGGCCGTCGGGCCTCGCAGTGGCTTTGGAGGTGCCTGTGAGCTGCCACCCCTCGTGTTTCTTTCTCTTGCTCCTCAGGCCTCGTGTTAATTAAGCACAGCCCTGCAGCGAAAGCGATGCTTGTACCTCCGCGCTTTCCTTGGTCCTAAACGCCGCCGGGGCTTGTTCTAGACGACTTGCAGGCCTGCACGGAGAGGTCGGTCTGAACCTCTTCCCCGTGGCAGCACCGTGGCCACACGCCAAGGTGGGATGCGCTGGCCCAGGGCCGTATCCCTCCAGCACAGGCACCTGCCGGCCCTAACACCCCCTTGAGCCCCTCCACGCAGGAGCGAGGGGCAGCGTGAGCCCTCGCTGCGCTCTCCTCGCAGTTGCCATTGGTCTCGCACACTTCATCTTGCCTATCAAGAGAACAGTCGGAGAGCTCATGCCTCTCAGGGGTCTCAAACAGGGCTCCTGCCAAGTCTGTGGTTTGTCTGGAGTGAAAGATGCAGTGAACATGCAAACTGCTAGTATCGTTTTGAGGTATTTCTGAGTTATCTGCTGCCTCTAGTTCTGGCAGTCGTATTTTGCAGTTTAGGGGGTTATATTTCACAGGGATGGAATTACAGCCACAAGTGTATATTTTAATGTGTAAAATTCCATTGATTTAATGGAGCCTGTCAGTAATATTGTTGTAATATGCCAGTAATCCCTTTGATAGTGAGCCCAGAGTACCTCGAGCTGATAACCCTCATCCTGAGATCAAACTAAAGAAATACTTGAAACTTTTAAAATGTTCAGAACGACAGAGATCCACCTCTAGGAAACAGAAGAACTTTTTTTAAAAAATCTCATCCTCCCCTTCGGAAATGAAAGGGAAAACTGCAGGCGCATTCCAGGGCTCTGAGGACACGACCTCTAGCAGTATGGCGCTATGTTAAAGCATTAACTCTTTCAAACCCTCCCTATATCTATTGGTGTGCCCCAAAATGCATTAGTCCCAGCAGTCTGGACCCAAAATGCAGATGGGCCAGCAGGACTGAAAACATCTTCGTGGGCTACATATGAAAAAGGCTCTATCTCAATCTACTCAGTGTATGAGGTACAGCTGTCATCTGCAATAGGAATTATGATTGTTATAAGTCTTTTCCAGAAAATCAGATGTAAGAGAACATATTCTTTTGCTCGTTGATACTTCGGAGCAATCAATGTAATATGTATAAGAAAGTTATTTTTCCTGAGAGTCTATTAAGAAAACATCAATTTAAATAAAAATTAGCAAATAATTGTGATTATATTTTAGTACTTGAAAATAATTAATAAAATAATATTACTAAGTATATTTTACTAAGTACATTATTAGCCCTTGTAGTCTATAGATTTGGCTTATCAAAATGTGCAGTAAGCTGCTCAATGGAGTGTAGTAAACCACAGTGTATTTAGGGACAGAGTAGACCATTCATAAGTGTGTTAATATATCTTTTAGGAAATACATGAAGAAAATTGTTCTTCACTGTTTATGTTTCATAGGTTTTACTCTATTTATGATTATTTCAGACAATAGCCTGAATCCCAACAGTTCTCAGTGGGATATGGATTATGAGGGACTCTTCCCCAGCACAAAAAGTCTTCCAGGGACTCTGGGCTCTCCCCAGCCTCCCGGCCCATTCGGAAGCAGCTCTCCTGTACGTCGCCAGCAAAGAAGAAGTTTGCTAAGTCCAAACCTGAGCCAGAAGCAAGGGAAGCAGTTGTCCTGCGACATGCTCCTTAAACTTTCCAGATACATTTTGATGGATACCTTTGGACCTAGCTTGGCCTGGAATCTCTTCCGGTTTTATAACTGTGTTCAAGAAGTCAATCAGCCTAAAATTCGCATCCATCCTCTCAAGGTGGCACGGTACAAACTGAAGCCGTTCCTGCTGCACCGGGTGCTTCGGCTCCTCGGGGGCATGGGAGTGTTGTCAGAAGCCCAGCAGTCCAAGGCCTTCTCGCTGCTCAAGGAGCAAATGCTTGAAACGAAGAAAAAGCAGATAAAGCCCCAAGTGGAACAAAGTGGTAGGTACATAAGGAGAAGACGTGGTTTTGGTTTCTCAGCAGGTTTTGGGTTGTGTCTCTACCACCTGCAAGTGACCTGAGTTGTGTAACTGAGCGCACAAGGTGACTCGTTCTCAGGCTTGTGCTTTCCCATCCGTGGTTTCTGCCTTCCCTCCCTTCTTCCTCACGGCCAGGGCAGCCAGCTCCCCATGGCACGTGGGTTGAGCAGCCTCATGTGAGAGCTCGGAGCCAACAGAGCGGGGGGCGGTGGGCTGCGCGCGGGGTGACATGCAGTGGCCAGGGCGGACAGAACATGGTGATGGCCTGTGCCACTGCCTGTGTCTTGCTGGAGATGGCACCGCCGCGCAGGCCCTGGCCCTTTGCAGAGCACCCCGAGCTCGACAGCCTCAGCCACGAGGAGGCAGCCTGTTGTGAAACTGGTAGGGAGGAAGCAGTCGCTATCTGCAGATAGATGCTGCTAAAGGCTGTCGCCACAGACGCTCCATAGATCGGGAGCGGCATTACAACGAACCAGTCTATGGGAGTCGATATTGGCACTAAAAGCAACATTTTAGTAATGCTGTACCCAGTTCTGCGCGGCGGCAGGTTCTGTAGCAGCCTCGGAGAGCAGCCGCCACGCAAGCAGGAGACACGAGCAGAGCCGTGTTCACAGCTCCCCAGCGCAGCGGGATGCTCCTGTGCTGGGGCGGGGAGAAGGAAATCTAGTGTTGGTGAAGGACGACAGCATTTGAGAGGGCTCGGAGGAGGAGTGTGTGTGTGTGTGTGTGTGTGTGTGTGTGTGTGTGTGTGTG